ATGCCCTTCTTGTAGGTGGGCGTCACATAGGCAAAGCCTCCAGTCATCTGGGACCTCCGCTGTTCACCAGGACTTCTGATAAATGATGGAGAGTGGTTTGGCCAGCTCCTCTGCCAGCTCCGTCAGTACTCTCAGGTGGATCCAATCCAGCCCCATAGATGTGTGAGTGTCCAGGTGGCACAGCAGGTAATTAACTGCTTCCTCCTGGATTATGGGGGGGTTATTTTGCTCTCCCTCCCTGGCTTCCAGCTCACGGCCTGATTAATTTTAGGATAACTGGTCTGACTATTAAAGTCTGAGGTAAAGGAGGCGTTAAGTACCTCAGCTTTTTCCTCATCCTTGCTGGCAATGTTCCCCCTTCATCCAATAAAGGATGGAGATTCTCCTTGGCTCTCTTTTTGTTGTTAATGTATTTGTAAAAACATTTTCTGTTATCTATTATGACAGTGGCCAGACTGAGTTCTTGCTGAGCTTTTGCCTCTCTAATTTTTGCTCTGTGTGACCTAAGGAGGTCCCTGTACTCACCTTGGGTTGCCTGCCTCTTCTTCCAAAAGTGGTAAACTCTCTTTTTCCTGAGTTCCAGCTGAAGTTCCCTGTTCAGCCAGGCCAGTCGTCTTCACCACCAGTTTGTCTTACGGCACATGGGGACAGCCTGCTCCTGCACCTTTAAGTCTTCTTTCTTGAAGAATGTCCAACCTTCCTGGACTTCTTTGCCCTTCAGGACTGTCTCCCAAGGGGCTCTCTCGACCAGTGTCCTGAACAGGCCACAGTCAGCCCTCCAGAATTCCATGGTTGTGGTTTTGCTGACCGCCCTCCTTACTTGATCAAGAATAGAGAACTTTTATCATTTCATGGTCGCTAAGCCCAAGACAGCCTTCAACCAGCACATCTCCCACCAGTCCTTCTCTGTTTGTAAACAGCAGGTCAAGTGAGGCACCTCCCCTGGCAGGTTCCCTTACCAGCTGTGCCAGGAAGTTATCTTCCACACACTCCAGGAACGTCCTGGACTGTTTCTTCTCTGCTGTGTTGTATTTCCAGCAGACGACTGGTAAACTTGAAGTCCCCCACAAGAACAAGGGCTAGCAATTGTGAGACTTCTGCCAGCTACTTGTAGAATGCTTCATCTGCCTCTTCATCCTGGTTGGGTGGTCTGTAACAGACTCCCAGCAGGAGATCTGCCTCGTTGGCCTTCCCCTTCATCCTTACCCATAAGCGCGCTCATCCTTGTCCTCACGATCGTTGAGCTCTACACAATTGAAACACTCCCTAACATGTGAAGCCACCCCATCACCTCTCCTTCCTTGCCTGTCCCTTCTGAAGATCTTATAGCCATCCATTGCAGCACTCCAGTCATGAGAATCATCTCACAATGTTCCTGTGATGGCAACTAAGTCATAGCTGTCCTGCTGCACAATGGCTTCCAGCTCCTCCTGTTTGTTGCCCATGCTGCGTGCATTGGTGTAGATGCACTTGAGCTGGGCTATTGATTTCACCCCCCAACGTTAGGCCTGTTTTTATCCCCTTTCTCCTCCAAACCTAGTTTAAGGCCTTGTCGGTGAGCATGGCCAACTCCTGTGTGAGAATCCTTTTCCTCCTTTGAGAAAGCTGAACTCTGTCTGGTGCCAGCAGGCCCGGTGCTGTGTAAACCTCCCTGTGATCATAAACCCCAAAATTCCACCAATGGCAGCAGCCTCTGAGCCACGTGTTAATCAGGTGTGTTTTCCCATTCCTTTTGCTATTCTCCCCTGACAGTCAAGGGATTGAGGAAAACACTGCATTTCTCAGCTGGTAATGTTTCACAAATGCCCTCATTGCAAACGCATCCGCACAGGAGTGATTTTAAGGTGTCATTCAAAATGGCCTTTTCCATTAGTCAGGCTTGTGGTTGAAAGTCAATGGCAAAACCTTCTGTAAAAGAGAGCTGAGGCTGGAAGAGGGTTTTTTTTTTATAGATCCACGTGGTTGTACATCAGAGACCTGTTGAATGAAGCACTGTCCACACATACAACAAAAAAATTACCATTCTTTGTTCGCCTCTTCCTTCCCTATGGGGCAGCAGACAAACGAGCAGAAATGATGGGGATGGAGACGAATGGGGTGCTGGGAATGTAACTGTGGGGTGCAGTCAGCAGCTGCTGGTCTGCGATAGCTGCTGAGCTGTTAGCTCAGGCACTTTCATGCCAAAACACAAGAGCTGGACTGCCACAGATAACCCGATGGCCCAGTTATAACTGTCTGTCTTTCCCTCTGCCGTTTGCTTCTCCGGTCCTCACTGCTATCACTTGATCATGTTTTGATGACACAGATGATAGGGTTTGTGTAGATAATAATAGCTGACCGCATTTGCTCACATTGTGATGAATTATTCCTTGGATTTACCCCGGAAACTGAAGGCTGTAGGCATTATGTGGGCCTGTTCTGATGCTATAGTGATCTGGGGTGCAGCCATGGCTTTTAAACAGAGTACCCTACACCAAGCTAATATGCTCTTTGTTTCATTTCCCTTTTCCTAGGTATCAGCCAGAACAGCCTAATTTGGCATACCAGATGGCTAGGACAACAGAGGAGACAGATAATAATGAGTCTGTGAGCACCAGTGAGTCACAAGCTGGATTTTTGCCAGAGGAAGAGGAGAAGTGTTCCCTTAAAGCTGTACTGTGTCCCCCAAATTCAGAACCTTCTAAATTCTCTGGCTCAGTGGTGAACATTTCAACTTTCATCATTGGTAAGCACCGGGCAGTGCAGCTCTGGGCCAGTGAGCCAGCTGGTAGGTCCTTGAACTCACCATGGTGGGACAGCTCACCTCCTGACTGTAATTTTGATGAGCTTTCGAAATGGCCAAAATAACTGAAGATCTACAGATTAAATTTATGACTTGAAAAGAGATCCAGGGATGGAGGGTGGGGAGTGTATAGGGGGAAGGGTATATCTCTTACAGTTAGCTTTTTTGTGTGTTGCTGTTTTGTTTGCTGAGCTTTCAGATTCTGCTTTGCCTGCTTGTGGTTTTGGTATTTTTTTTTTTCCTGTTCCTAAAGAAAGAATTAGTAAGCTTTTGGTGTCTGTTCACAGGTTTCCTTATCGTGGGTAGCTGTATCCTCACTGCCCTTGAGCCAAGCCTTCTGATAAAGTCTGTATGGATTATTGCTGCCATCCTTGTTCTTGCTGTCAGCTTCATTATATGGAAACAGCCTGAAAGCAAAACCAAGCTCTCCTTTAAGGTGCGTGTCCTGGGAAGTGTAGCTAGAGAAGAGCTGTTTGGGAGGTGGTTGGAAGAGGAAGTGCATGTTGGCCTGTCCCCCTGCGAGGGGGTACTTGGCCGAATGGACATGCAGAGGAGGTAGGTATGATGCGAGCTTTTCCATGCAGGGCTGCCAGGAGAGCTGATGGCTTGAGCTCTGTAGCCAGTGTGGCTGTAACCTCTCGTAACCTGCGCTTGTTGTGTAAAGGGATGTCCTACCACAGCCGAGCTCAGCCTCCGAGTGTGGTTTCCTCTTGGGGTCTAACCTCAAATGTCAGCGTAGGTGCTTTGCCGCAAAGTGCGGCACGGCAGAAGAAACGTTGTGGCAAGCCTGCTGCCCAGCAACGCCTCGTGGGCAGAAGCAGATTTGGCACAGAAAGAGGGGCTGAAGAGGTTAGCTGAGAGATTGGAGGAACCCATCAGGAGGGGAAGCCACGTCAGGTCACAGGCAGGAGTAGAGGACTTGGGAAGAAATGTAAATGGTGCTGGAGTCCAGGAGAAGCTGGGATGCCAGAACCTGGTGCAGAGAGGTGGCCAGAAGGGGAGGGCAGGATGCTTTTGAAAGCAAATGGCTGTAGGATATGGAAGAGACAAGAGATCAGAGGAAAAGGGAATGGTTTTGAAGGGGCATGTCAGATCATGAATACAGAAGGAGAGAGAACCCAAGACACAAGTTTGTGTGTGAGGATCAAAGCGGTACTTGCTAAAAGGATCTAAGAAAGTGTACTTTCATGTCCTACTTAGTCCCCATGGAGACTAAGGGATGACCATTCTCTCTTTAACAGCCATAAGTATGAAGAACTCTGTCATTTTCCTGCCCTGTCCAAGCACACCATCCTTTCTGTATTAAAGAAAGAACTGGGATTTTTTTTTTTTCCCCAGTATAATCCTGCAGGTCATGTTTTGTGGTCTGGAACAAGGCTTTCAGGCTATTTCCCCAATTTATTAAATTAGTTTTGAATTCTAATCCTATCCTCCAAACTGCTCTCATTTTGATTGCTCTTCAGTTGCAGTTTTTCTGTAAATTCTCTGATTGTGATAATTTAATCCAGCCAGAGTTGCCCAAGGTAGTGTTTGCAGCTCATTTTGGGGTTATGGTCCCAGAAGTGGAAACAGAAATGTCCATGAGCGGAAAACTTAGGAAATGTCATCTAGACTGTATTTTCTGAACTTGCTTCTGAGGGGATCTGTTTGTCTTACATTTAGGGTATTTTACCTCCTTTTTTTTCCCCTCAGCCACTACCCTGTCCGAAAGAAAAAAAATTAGACCTGTCACTGCTAAATCTGTAATGGCTGTTTCTTATCTCCTTGTTGTCCTGTAGACATTTACAACCTGACTGTCTAGTGATTTTTCTCCGAAGTCTCGTGGAAATCCAAGGCTGACTGGTTTGTTCCCCAGTTGTTTTTCTGTATTTCTTTTTAATAGATAATTCATCTCCTTTCTCCAGTCTTTAGAGACCTTACTCGTCTACCAAGAGCTCTCAGGGATCCCTATTAATAGTTCAGAGGTGACTTCTGCAATCTCTGGGTATATAACTCACCCGCCTAGGGAAATTTCATTTGTCCCTACTGACTTGACAAAGCCTGATTTAGGAAGATACTCTTCCATTTTCTAATTTGTGTGCCCATCTCCTTTCTCTAATGATGTGAACAGCTGTTCACGATAAATGATTTTTTGTTGTGAAGCTTAAATCAAGAAAGGCCTACAACATTTCAGCCTGTTTCTTTTTGTAAATCTTTTTTTTTTTTCCTGAGGAGTGAAGTTCACTTTCCTCTTGGTTTCACCATATTCACAAACCTTTCTATTGTTATAATTCGTCCTTTCTGATTTTGTCTTTACATGCCTGTGCTATTTCTTTATATTCTGATTTTTGTATTTTGGCTTTACTGTCTCATTCTTCTTTGTATCTTAGATCATTAATACATTCTTGGTACAGCTGCACTCGTCTCTTACAATATTTCCTGTTTTCCTTCTGCTCTGGGATAATTTGCTCTGTATTGCTTAATTGCCTTGGTACCTGCTGAATGAAGTTCCTCAGGTCCCTCCTCTGATGTTCCCCTTACCTTCTTCTGGTCTTCAGTAGGTGCCTGTCATGATGCAGTCCTTGGTTTTCCTCTTCTTTCCTTCCCCCACAAGTATTTAGTACTGCTGCTAAAACTTGTCTCTTGCCTCCTTCCAGACCACAAAACAAGGACAACCATTCCTAAAACAGGTGAAGAACGTTGTTCACATCCCTCTCCCATGGTGGATTGATGTCCTCCGTTTTGGTCTAACCTTGCCACTTCTCAGATCTGGCAGCTGAAGGGCCGGTAACAGCCGTCACTTCCCGTTTACAAGGGTTGCAATGTTTCTTGCCTGCCCGTTAATCATCCCTATGGGTGTAATGTATCCCTCTTTCTTTTTCAGGTACCTCTTTTGCCCCTTCTTCCTGTTGTGAGTATTTTTGTGAATGTTTACCTCATGATGCAGCTAGACCTAGGCACATGGATACGTTTTGCAGTCTGGATGCTCATAGGTGGGTTTGAGAGAATAGAAAATGCTATTTTCAAAGTTACTAGATTTTGTTAACCATGAATTTATTGTAGTGTTTCAGGGAGGGATTCTGCACTCTCATTGTCCTTGGGCAACCTTGGTGACTTAACTGAAGCCATTTAGGCAGTGTGTCTCAAGCCTTGTTTTAAATTCAAGGGTCACGAAGCCTCTGTGAGGACAAAACAACAACCCATGAACGTCTTGTTGCCAGCAAGAAACCATGCAACATTTCTTGTTGGCTGGCCTTCAACAGCAGTTGAGGTGGTGGGGCTTGTGCTTCTGGAGCTGAAGGAGCTGAGCTGCATCCCAAGCTGCTCCCAGTAACCATGTGGAGAAGGCTTAATTGCCTGAAATGCCCAGGGAATTTGTTACGATAAAAACAAGATTAGTATCTGTTGTAGATGTTTTTTACTGAGTCAGAGGCTGTAGCACACAGAGAGAGAAAGCTCTCTTCAGAGTGGACTGCAGTGAACTCACTGAAAAGCATGAGGGGTTTACTGTAATCAGACCCCCCGTTTGGGGCCTGGGTAGATCATCTTTTAAAGACTGGTGTCTGTGTTAATGGCTTTTTTTTCTAAGGAAGGTAGTAGCTGCCCGCTGGAAACTAGATATCAGGATGGCTGGACTTGCCCCTGCTGTAACCTGTCTTGGTGGGTGTTAGTAGCAGTTTCCGTTTCCTTACAGAGCTAACGGTGCCCTCTCCCCTTGGCTTCTGCAGGCTTTATCATCTACTTTTCTTATGGAATATGGCACAGTGTGGAAGCCACCTACGCAGCCTCAGCAGATGTGGAGAGAAACACGGATGCTGGTTCAGACAGCTGTAAATGACTGCATGTTTGGCTTACAGGCAACTGGGGAGTGGCTGCAGTGACGGAAGCTTTGTGGTGGGGATCCTGAACCAGGTTACGTCTGGTTAATCAGTAATGCAGGAATAAGGAAGCGTGATGTGGGACTCCCCAGCCCTGTTGCTGCAGCTTGCAGTTTGCCTAGTAGCACAGTTAAAAAGGATCACAAGGAAAAAAGCCACACCTCTGGCGTACTCCCGGCAACACTGTCAGCTAATTTGGGGCTATGCGCTTCCCTTCCTCCCTCTCCTGTTTTTTTTTGTCTCCGGCGTGTAGAAAGAAAACTGCTTCTGTGTGCCAGTTAACCTTAAATGCTGCTACGAAACCAGGCCTCAAAAAGGTCTTTCTCTCAGTAGCCCCAGGAATTACCTCCCCACAGATACTCTACCTGATTATACATGGAGCAGATTTTGCAGTGCTACTGTCAGGCTTAGACCAGATCCGTCCTTCGCCCAATGTGAGCTGTACCCCACGTGTACGCACAAAAAAAGGCTCTCGCCAAACACCAGCTTTCACCTGGTTAACGGAACACCTGCAAGACTTGCATTCTTTAAAGTATCAGGTCTCATAGTTTTTGTTGTATTTAACTTTTTTTTAACTACGTACTCATATGCTTTAAAGCACACTGCTGCTGTGAAATGTTGGGAGGGTTTGTGATTGCTGCTTGTCGGGTGAACGGTGGTTTGCCAGCGCGCAGGTAACGCCAGCAGATGTTTCTGCTGACTGTACGCTCGGCAGAGGGATTGCCAAGTTTAGCCATAAAACTATTTGGTGCAAGTACTTGAATGGCTTGAACAGTTGTCTCCAAAGAGCTGTCCTACCTTTTTGCTTCAGAAATCACCAGCGGTGTGGCTGCAGTGGTGGGGTGGGTAGTAGAAGTGAGCCCAGCTTTGACAACAAGTGGGGCCCTATTTTCCTCTCCCCACCTCAGTTTTGTGTGCTGGCCGTGTGGCATTAGCAAAGGATTTGGCCATGAGACTTTCGTTTGGCGTCGGTGGGTGGAGAGTGTTTCTGCCCTGGGAAGGGGGCGCACAGGAGGATCCTCAGGGGCTTCAACTTCATCTGTGAGCAGTGCCTGGCACCTGCTCCCTGCCCAGGGAAGGGCTGTAGGGGTGCGCAGGGGCTCCTCGATCCCAGTAAGAACATGCAGCCCAGAGAACGCTGCTGAGCTCTAGGGTCCGACTTGCTGAGAGGAGCTTTCCCTTTGGGGTTGGAGATCTTCCCTAGAGCCTGGCTGTTGTGAGAGGTGGGAAATCTGGAGTTGAGACCAAGGTCTGTGTTTGGTTGGCAATGCCTTGGTCTTGCTGTAAGATGAAATTTTATTTCAGTTCTCTCTAATAGCTTTCCCCCAGCCAAATTCACTACCCTAAAAAAGGCTTGTTAAAGCATCATGAAGGTGGGCCGTATCTAATGCCACTGATTTAAATTCATGCTTCAGCTTGTACTGAAAAACAAATCATAGAGTCGCAGAGTGGTCTGGGTTGGAAGGGATCTTTGAAGATCATCTAGTCCAGCCTCCTTGCTGTGGGCAGGGACACCTTCCACTAGATCAGGTTGCTTGAAGCCCCATCCAGCCTGACCTCAAACACTCCAGGGAGGGGGCATCCCAAATAGATACTGCAGAAGTCCCTTCTCCCAGCCTGAGTGGATGCTGTCCTAGGTGTCCTCCACACGACTGCCTCTGAACACTAGACAATCCTTAATCTGTTTGTCAGCGTGGCTCTCACTGTGAAAGGCATGGGCTTTTGTCCCCGTCATTCAGGTGGAGAACTGAAGAACAGACCCCTACTTGACTTGACCAGGGTCTCCCAAGCATCTGGTGCAGCAGAAAGGGGAACCAGACTATCATCTCCTAAATTACACGGCTGGACCGTGGCCCATCTCTGACAGGTTTCCAAAAGAGACTTTTTTGTCTTTGTGCCCGCTGAGGGGTTTTAATCTTGGCCTCCTTCTAGTACCTGGGGAGGCTTTTTTTGCCAGGTTTGTAATTGGAAGAAGACAACGTGTGCATTGCCTCCTGGGTGCATTTGGAGTGCAGATCCCCCCACAAAATCAAGTCAGGGTCTGCTCCAATCTCTGGGTCCTGACCATCTGCTTCTCATGCATATAGAAATTCTTGCTCAAGCAAGGGGAGAAGAATATTGAAATTAAAAGCCACTGGGCTGAGATCTGTTTTGTTTAAACACAGGCAAGCTCTACACACTCCACAGCCTCCCAAAAAGCACTGAAGATGTGGTGGGAGGGAGAGAAGGTGTGAACTTAGAGGGGAGTAAAGTTTCCTGTTGTACCAAAAATGTAAGGATGCTTTTCCCTACCTTGGGTACCAGCTTCTGAGCAATTAAGACATTCAGCAATGACCGTTTGGGGGTTCTGACTGGAAGTGTGTTTCCAAAGAAAATTATTTTAAAATATGCAGATTTCTTGCTGTATGTAATTTTTTTAAAAATAAATGTTAACTTATTTTTGTTGTCTGCTTAGGGATCTGTTCTGGTATTTATATTCCATAACTTCATTTTACCTTTTGTGGCGTATAGTAGCAGCACACAGAAGGAAAGGAAAGTCTTGATGGGGGTCACTTTTCTTCAGTGTCCTTTTCTCTGAGAAGGTTCACAGGAAAATCTTCTCCAGAGTTGGTATTTAAGTATGCTATAACCTGTACCAGCCCCAGAGCCACCCGCTGCAAATGTGCTAGTGGAGGTGAGGATCCTTAGCCCCGTCTGCCACTCCTCTGTCGTGACTTCTTCAACCCATCAGTTCCACAGTGCTGGTTGGTACTGTCTCTCTTGCTCTTTGTTGCTCCTCACCAGATACAGGGAGGTGGAGGGAGCCTGCAGCCCAGCTACGGGGAAGCGTAGGTGTCTCCCTGGATCTCTGTCTACCTGCTTCCCCCCACGCCCAGCGGGACCTGGGGACCTCCTGGCCTCCTCTTGGCTTGACTTGACCTGGGGAGTGGACCAGTGGGAAGGTGATGAGTTTGACACAGCTGCTTACTCCTGCCCCATCCCCTCCTGGCTGCATCCACCCCTTGCTTGTACATTTTGTATTCTGAAAGGCAAAACTTGTGTGCATCTTTGTAGGACAACATCAAGGACTTCGCTCAATGGGGGGGGGTGTTGTTGGTTTTTTTGGTTGGTTGGTTGGTTTTTTTCCATTTCCTCTGCCTCCCTGCTGATGTCTGCATGTAACATAGATCAAGCCAGGTATCTCTGAAGACATGCAACTGCTGCTACATAACCTTGCTGGTGTGGACAATATGCCTTCATTCATTAGAGCTTTTCTTTGTAAATAGTTCAGTTGTTATTTTATTACTAGAATATTTTGTACAGATGCAGACCATTTTGCTGTATGAAGAGGTGGGAATGGAGAAGCGATGCCTTTGCTTGGTGCGAGAACAGATCCTTTTCTGCCAGAGCCGAGAGACGTAGTAAAAATGGCTTCCCTGATCTTTCGGGGCAGGCTCTGTCCTGCACAACTGACCTTGTTTCAACATATTCACTTGCTCCCAGTCTGCTCGCTCGAGAGGGGCCCTCCAGGGAAGCTGTTGGAAGGGTCCTACTGACTGCCAGTGCTTGGTGGGCAGAGGTGGGCAGCACCAAGGCTGCAGATATGGAGCCAGCCAGCCTTTCTCAATGGAAAATTGCTGTCACAACAGCTTTTTTCCCCACAAAAAAATAACTCTTTTTTTTTTTTGTAAAAATGACTAGCTTTTGCTTATTTACTTACAACTTTCATTCTTTGATCACTGAAAATCATTACCGGCTGGATTTCAGCTTCATTTCGCCTTTTTCCCATCCCTCTGAGTGGAGTGCCCCTGGTTCAAGCAGCGAGCGCCTGTGCCAGGTATCGGGCAGCTCTGGAGTGTGAGGGGTATGGGGCTGCCCCCCTGTCTGTCTCAGCATTGTGGGGGCCGGGGCGTGCTGTGGGCAAAGTGCTGCTGGTTGGGAGCCGTTTGGAGCTGTTTGTGCTTGGTTACAGCAGGGGAGAGGGAGCTGCAGGGGACCACACTGGTGAAAACACAGTGGGTGCTGATGCCACACGTTGCTGTTTGTTGCCAGGGTCTTGAAAGGGTAAAGTTTTAGCTGGCAGTGCTTGCCGTGGGCACTCTCACCCTTCGTCCATCCCAGATAGAAACAAACTCCTATTCACAGCATGCAGAGGGTGCCTGTCACTGCCTGCTGACTCCATCCCTACTAACGCGGAGACCAGAAAGCAGTGTGATAGGATATTATGTTTGTAGTTTGTAAAATCCATTTCTCTAGTGATTGCATTTTATATACTAATGAATTCCAGTGGGATTCCTTAAATCTGCCCCCCCCTCCCCGAAAGCCACATACAGGTGAGCGTTGCTGTCCCCTGCTCAAATGACTGAAGGGTGACAGGCAGGCCTAGGAGGCTGGAGGGACTTGCTTTGAAGGCGAGGAGCAGGAGTGGTGCGGGTTTTCACACAGCAGGCTCCCCTGCAGCCCCTCCCCTACACCCATCTGAACACCCTCCCCTTTCCCTCTGGCAAAAAAAGCGTCTCTGACCCCTTGGATAACCTTGCGACGTTCCCTGGGCCCGATTTTATGAGCAGGTTCCGTCTCTTCTTTCCCCTTACCGAAAAATTGCAGTTGTTCAAGGCTAAATCTATAGGCGCACGGTGCCCCTCACAGCCAGCTCCCCCTTCTGCAAGGCCGGCAGCCTGCAGGCACGCCAGCATCCCAAAAGTGAGCTGAACCTCACTGGTGCCATTGGTTGCTCTGCCTCGTGGTTTGTCATTCAGTTCCCACTCCAGCAGCGATGCCTCCCCCAGAACCCTCCCCCTGGGCCACCTTATGCTCTACGTTACGGTTGCAGTTGGGGTCCGTGCGGTGTCTGACACCCAGCTGGAAACCAGGTGAGCCTGGAATGTCTCTGCTAGCAAGAGCCAGACCTCGATTTTTCTCAGGGTATTTGCTTCTGGCTCACGCTCCGAGATGAGAGGTTCATCTGAGACCAGGCAGG